TGAAAATTTATATTAATGACATGGTTGTCAAAAGTAAGCTAAAAGCAGAGCTTTTAAAAGATCTGAAACCCACCTTTAATATCCTCAAGACCTATAAATTAAAGTTGAATGCCGCTAAATGTGCTTTTGGTGTTGAGTCAGGAACATTTCTAGGCTACTTTGTGACAAGAAGGTGGATTAGCAGGTGAAGGCCATCATCAATGTACAGCCATCTCGTAAACTCAAAGAAGTGCAAAAACTAACAAGGATGGCGGCAGCACTTAACCGCTTCATAAGCCGCTCCTCAGGCAAATGTAAACCCTTCTTTCAGTTCCTCAAGAAGGGGAGAAGAGTGGACTGGAATAAACAGTGTGATCAAGCGCAGGAGGAGCTAAAACAATGCCTCATTTCACATTCTTTGCTTTTAACTTCTCAACGAGGTGAAAGGTTATACCTATACTTAGCAGTATCAAGGCACACAATGAGCTGAGTTCTGGCTAGAAATGTGGAAATCACCCAGCTGCTGGTCTACTACATCAACAAAACTCTAAACAGTGTAGAAACCAGGTATTTACCGTTGGAGAAATTAGCTTTAGCCTTTATAACTCCAGCTAGAAAACTTGTACACTACTTCGAAGGTCACCTTATCGCGGTGCTAACCCATCCTTTACGAAGCCTTTTTCAAAAAGCTGACTTCTTTGGGCGAATTGCTAAATGGTCCGCGGAGTTAAGAGAATTCAACGTCACCTTTTAGCCTTTGGCCGATTTTGTAATGAAATTCTCAACTAAACGATCTCACACAAGTTCTACAACTGATAATTTGCCAGCTACAGAACTTAGGAGGCCACAAGACATGACCCAGAAAGGGCAACCCCAAGAGAAAATAAAAGAGCTAAAATTGGCATTACCTTAGCAATCTAGCGTTACAAAAGCTAGGCAACAAGGTTAGTCAGAACAAGGCAGTAACTCAACATGAAAGCTGTATGTAGGCAACTTGAACAACTAGAAACTCTTCATGGATGGTGCATCAAACTTGAAAGAAGTAGGAGTAGACACCCCATTTTTGACCGACCTTAAGACTCAGACGTCACCGATTGAGCGCTTGGTGATGTTGCATAATGTGCTCGTTCAGAAGTTTCAGAGTCGCGGCCGTGAGCCCTGCCTCCGGACTTCCGAACCCTCTTCTGTGCCTTGCCTCGGTTTGCGAACCAGGCTCGGTCTTCTCTGTTTCTTTTTCTGAGGGAAGGGAGAGGTCCCGTGGACCATCTCTCAGTGGCCGTGGGATACGTTTTATGGTCATAGGCCATTTTGCCCATTTCGGAGTCCGGTTTCCGGTTTTTCGGGACCGTTGGCCGTGTGCCTCGGTTCGGGACCGCCTAACCATCTCCGTTTGTTCTGATTTTTGGCATACCTCCTATTTACTCCCTTTTGAGGGACACTGGGTTCTGGGAAACCCACTTCGTGATCGAATGCCACTTTCGGTGCTTAACAGCCCATTTTTGGGACCCCGAACTGCGCGTTTTGGCCCCCGAACATTCGTTTTGCAACGGTTTTCGTTCATTTTTGGCAGGTACCTCTGTTTTATCACCGGGAAGGACATAGAAGGGCGGGAGGCCAGTAATTGTTGCAGCAACCAGTTATATCTCCTTTGGCACCCTCCAACGCCCATTTTTCTAACTTCCGGGCTAATGTTGAACACCCTTGAGTCACTGTTGCCAACTTTCAACCACATATCTGTGATCTACACATCTGGGAGGCCACTAAAAGTTGGTGGCCGGCCACTAAGGTCACCTGACCCTTTCCCTCCTTCCGGGCTAATGTTGAACAGCCTAGGCCCTTTTTCTTGAATTTTGAACCATAGGGTTGTGTTGTACACACATGGTAGGACCCTAAAAAGTGGTGGCCGGCCACTATTTCAACTTGACCCTTTTGACCCCTAGCCGGCCAGCTAGGGGAGGTGGCCGGCCGGCCACCTGGAGCTCCAAAAACCAGCCGGCCATGATCCTTACAACATCCACTTTACAGCTGGGCATCAATTGCCCCGGCGCTACCTCCAGGCGATTCAGCACGTCAACCACCACTTGAGGCAGTGGCAACCTCAGCCCCCCTTTTAGCGCCTCCTCGTACAGGGAAAACTCCCCTGGCCTCGCAGTAGACGGCCTCTCCCCTGATGTTGGCAGCAGTAAATCTACCTCCGCCGGAATCTGGTACCGCTCCCTAATCACCTCCAAATCCGCTACCGTGAGTGTGGATTTGTCCGCCTTAGTGTGCCACTGCTCTGGCTCCACCTGGCTTAGCGGCTTTGGGGCCAATATCAGGGCCGAAACCTGCGATTCTCCCACCGTCTCACCCACTTCCGCCCCCACTATCCGTGCCTCCGTCCTGTATTGCGCTGCTAACTCCTCCCCATCATCATCCCCCAGTGGATCCACTCTCACATTGGCTACTTCTTCCTGTGCCATCTCTAGGGTTTGCTTACAAACCACTTCTGACGCAGGCGCAAGGAAGTTGAGAGAATGCTACACAGGTATGTCGTATGCAGTGAAGGAATTAACACTAGGATATTTTGGGTTTTTGTACACAGGTAGTTGAAACGCATTATACCAACAACCCACGGTTTACCCGTATTCCATGAATTCGCATTATTTTTTGCCCGTTTCAAAACCTTTCAAATTAACCGCCAAAGCCGCCTTTTCAAAACCCCACTCGTGACCTATCGTTTCATTTCTGCTCCAACGCTTCACTCCCCCCACGATATTACCCACGTGTATGGCCACGATGCACTGTCCCCTCCCTTTCCCATGTCCTTTCCATTTCAAATCATCACATGGCCCCACCCTACCCCCCACCCTACCCCCTCTCTTTTCGAGCCCCGCGCCGTCCTGGTCGGCAAGCCCCACGGCCGACCCCTCTCACTCGGCCACCCTCGCGTTCGGCACGCCTCTCGGTCGACCCATCTCACTCGGCCACCCTCGCGATCAGCTTCTCCCGATTCAATCACCCTGGTGATCGGTACGGCTTCCCGTAGGCCTCTCCACTCGGTTCGAACTTCTCTTCCTTATTACTATTCCCTTCGTTGGACTAAAGCTGCACTCGGAAATGGGGGACTACTAACATGGACAGGCCCACGAGGCATACAGCCCATGGCAAACCACCCGGAACCCATCGCTTTGGACCCATAGCATAACTTGGTTGGCAAAGCCCAGGACAGCTGGAGGCCACCTGGACGTGGAGGGCCAAGGGCATTCGGACACATGACAGATGAGACACAGGCCACATCAGCAGACAAAGATCTGCAGAGTTATTGCCACAACACATCACCATTAATGCAGCCCATCACAGCATTTATTACGACAACACCTCCCCGTCGGAACAGAGCCCCCTCACCCTGAACAAGGTAAGCTACGGCACAGGCTTTCAGCGAAAAGGGGGGCACGTCACAAAGGACAGTGAAATGATTACCAAAGGATATAAGCAACAAGAGAAGCACAAGAATAAGGTTAAGCTTTTCATTTCTCCATCTTCTTCGCTACATTTTCCTGTCTTCCTTCTACTAATTCTCTCGCCGGAGGGTTCACTGGGGGACTGCCCCGTTCCCCTTTGGACTTGCTTGCAGGTCATTTGACGGAATCACCACCCGAAACCAGAACCTGAAGAACCTGGGCCAGCCTGACCCATCCACTCGGGACGGCCTGTATCATCAATTTTATTTTTAAATTGAGACATTTAAATTTTATTGAATTTTATTAAATATAATACATAATTAAATAGTAGAGGGTCAAAATGGTCATTTTCGCATATAATCCAAACAGTGATTAGTCCCCCACTTTCTGTCCCTTGGAAGAATTTCTTCAAGGCAGTGTAGTGGCCCTCTCTTTCCTTGGACTTGACAATCATGTCGTCCATGTACACCTCAACCTCTTTGTGGATCATATCATGCAAGATAGTGGTTGCAGCCCATTGATAAGTAGCCCTAGCATTTTTCAGACCGAACGGCATCACCGTGTAGTAGTAGGTTCCCCACGGCGTGGTGAAGGCAATCTTCTCCCTGTTCTCGGGTGCCATCAAAATCTGGTTGTACTCGAAAAATTAATCCATAAAGGAGAGCAACGCATGGCCTGTGGTGAAGTCCACTAATTCATCGATGTGCGACAAGGGAAAGTCATCCTTCGGACTAGCTTTGTTCAGATCTCTGAAATCCACACACACCCGAATTCTGCCATCTTTCTTTGGCACCGGAACAATGTTGGCCAACCAAGTCGGATACTCAGATACTAACAAAAACCCTCAATCTATCTGCTTGGTAACCTCTTTCTTAATCTTCAAAGCCCAATCCGGGCGTATTCTCTAAAGCTTCTGCTTGATGGGTCAGGCCCTGGGGTCAAGAGGGATCCAATGCTGTACAATCTCAGGATCGATTCCAGGCATGTCTTTGTAGGACCATGCGAAAACATCTTTGAAATCTTTTAATAAAGCAACTAAATGCTCGTGTTCCTCCAAAGACAATGTATACTCGATTTGGACCAGACGCGGATCCTTCTCAATACCCATATTAATTGGAATGATTTCATCAACAAGGGGTTTTACAAACCTCTCTTCCTCTCAATCAATCAAATGTTTCAAAACTAGAGGAATTCCTTCCTCACTATTTTCATCAAAATTTTAAAAATCATGATCAATACAATACACAAGAGGCACAGAGAAGTACTTAAAAGTTGTCGTAGTATTCTCATTCAACTGGTCCAGCCCATCCAATTCGTTGGTTACAACTGACTCAAAAGAAAAAGAAAAAGACGACTTGGACAAAACTTCGGCATCTGTGTTATCAATCCCAGGAATACTGGACACTGACTTAGAAGAACTAGAATTTGATTCCAACTCCACAGACTCTGTGGAATCAGATTCTAGCTCACTACCTGATTCAGAACTACTAGACAGAAAACCCTCCTCCAGCTACCAAGTGAGGGACAGTGCATTAGATGCATCTAGAATAACACCAGAAAGGTTCACACCTGATTGGTCTCCGATCATGGAAATGATTAGGTCATCCTCCAAGCTCTCCGAGTTGATCTGAGGATCTGGCATGAGACATACCAGCACTGCTCCTTCCTTAATTTCATCGCTGTCTAGATCACTTTTTGTTCTTTGTTCAGCCCCAGCGATAACAGATTCTGCCATTTCCTTTATAGCTTCATTTTCTTGCAGTTATAGATCAAAGAAAATCTCAAAGTCGCGTAGACACCGCTTCTCGGAGTTCAACCATGGCTCAAGAAAGTCACAAAATGGGAAGTCTTCCCCCTCTCGGACAAAGCAACCATTTAGAGTTCCCTGAATTGGCCTGTGCACAAGCTCATAGTGCTTTCCAATTTGCTTAGCTTTGGCTTTTCCTGCCATTTCCGTTTCTTTTCGAACCCAGTTCTCTTTGGTAGGCATGTAGCCGAGACCAAAGGCATGTGGGTTAGGTGGCACTTCAGCCAGTGCAGTAACACCCTTCCGACCACTCTTTCCCAACCCCCCATCTCGGGCACATGTTGTAGCTTGTTCATGAGGTAGACTAATTGTGCACTAACATACAAGCCTTCATCAACAGCTAGGATATTCTACACCACCCAGGCCTCAGCCAAGGTAAAACTAGACAGGAAAGCATCCTCATCGTCGTGTACAATCTCCAGTACCAGCATAGTAACCTCAGGCGGAGGGTGTATAGATGAATTTCCAAACACAATAGCCACCCCTTCCCAAGTGGGTACTTCAGCATTTGATGTAAGGTGGACGAAATAGCTTTTACTTGGTGCAACCACGGCCGTCCAAGGAGTTAATTGAAAGTGGCTGGAATGTCTAGGACGTGAAACTCAATATCCTATTGTGCCGGGCCAACTTGTGTTCTGATCTAAACTATTCCGATCAGCTCTCGACTTGTGTTGTCGTACGCTCGGATCTCTTGGGTCATAGGTACAAAATCCACTGGCTTCAAGCCAATAGCATAGGCTGTACAGGATGGACAAACATTGATCGTAGACCTAGTGTCAATCAACACAACTCGCATCCACTTCTCTATACACTCAACTAAGATGTACAATGGTTTGTTATGTGCAGAGCCCTCAGACGGCAATTCCTTATTTGAGAAGGTCAAAGTCAGCGAAGCACCTCCCGGGAAAACAAGTCCCATTAGTTGCTTTGGGGTTGTGTCTACAGATAGCTTAGCCTTATCCATTGCTGACAGGACAGCTTGCCTGTGTACCCGCGAGGAGATGAGCAACCCTGAGATGGATATGTCTGTTTGGATCTTCTTTAACTGTTTCAGTACAGCTTCTTTTACTAACTGTTTGTCCTTCTGTTTTTCGGCCTTCTTATCCTTACCGGATACTCCTGGTTGGTCCAAGTGTGGGGGCTTGATGTACTGCTCCCTTCTTGTCATCTGTTCCACCTCCTCAGAGTACCATGTATTATTTGGCAGGTCTTGGCCCCAATCTTCATCAGTGTGGGCAAGATGCAGATCATCAGTTTCCCACCATACTCCCCGGGCAACCAATAGGCAATTGTCCGGTTCCGTCGTTATTACTTTCACTTCACAATCATCCCCGGCAGGGTGTTTGGCTTTTCCATCTTTTTGACTATTCTCATCTCTTTCCTATTCAAACCGCTTTAGTACGGCCTCCTATTCAGTGCCCACGGTACTTATGACGCCCATTTCTTGAGCGAAATTCTTAAAATCGGCGCTCTCCGGCAACTTTCCCTTGTCCACGGCCGTTCTGGCCGTTGTAGCAG